CAAATACCATCGCTAAATTTTCAAGGCATGAACAAAAGTTGCCAATTCCAAGTCGTGGACCGGATAATTCTTCTCATGGACCTTCAACTGCTGAGACGCGTAGGAAATCACCCTACCGTCTTGCATCAACTTCGCGCCAAGGCCAACACGTGATGCAACACAGTACACAGTGTAAGACCCCAAAACCATAGGCGATACTAACACTGGGGTTGTAGTCAAAGCAGCCTAGGACTTTTGAAATCTCTCCTCACACTCCTCGGACCATCTGAAAGGAGCACCCTTTTGGGTAAATCTGGTCACAGGTGCAATAATTGATGAGCAACCCTCTACGAAACGTCGATAATACCCGGCCAACCCAAGGATCCTCCGAATCTCAATAGCTGAAGACGGTCTGGGCCAACTCTGCACTGTTTCAATCTTCATCAGATCTACTTTGATCCCCTCACTCGACACCACATGACCTAAAAAGGCCACCGAATCAAGCCAGAATTCACACTTTGAGAATTTTGCATACAACTTCTTTTCTCTCAAGGTCTAGAGCACAATCCTCAGATGCTGCTGATGATCCTCCCGACTACGAGAGTACACCAGGATGTCATCAATAAACACAATGACGAATGAATCAAGATGTGGCTAAAATACATTGCTCATCAGGTGCATAAATGTTGCTGGGGCGTTGGTCAGTCCAAATGACATCACAAGGAACTCGTAATTACCATACCGAGTCCTAAAGGCAATCTTCAGAATATCTGGATCCCGAATCTTCAGCTGATGATACCCTAACCGGAAATCAATGTTTGAGAACACTCTGGGACCCTGTAGCTGATCAAATAAGTCATCAGTGTGCAGTAATAGGTACCTGTTCTTCATTGTAACCTTGTTCAACTGTCGATAATCAATACACATGCGCATAGAACCATCCTTTTTCTTCACAAACAGAACCAGAGCATCCCAAGGTGACACACTAGGCCGAATGAAACCCTTATTAAGCAACTCTTGCAACTGTTCCTTTAACTCATGCAACTCCGCCGGGGCCATATGATATGGTGGAATAAAAATGGGTTGAGTGCCTGGTAACAAGTTAATACCAAAATCGATATCTCTATCGAGCGGCATGCCTAGAAGATCTGCCGAAAATACATCTGGATAGTCTGTCTCTACCAGAACTAACTAAACGGTAGGAGTATTAACACTGACAACTCTCACAAAGGCTAGGTATGCATCACACCCTTTCTTAACCATCCACTGTGCCTTAAGGAAGGATACAACCCTGCTAGGAACGTAATCCAAAGTACCCTTCCACTCCAACCGCGGTAAACTTGGCATATCCAATGTCACCGTCTTGGCGTGACAATCATGAATAGCATGATAGGGCGACAATCAGTCCATGCCCAAGATAACATCAAAGTCTACTATACTGAGCAACAATAGATCAACTCTGGCCTCAAAACTACCAATAACAACTAAGCACGACCGATACATACGGTCAACAATAATAGAATCTCTTACAAGCGTGGACACATAAACAGGAGAACTCAAAGAATCACGAGATATACCCAAATACAGAGGAAAGTAAGATGATACATATGAGTAAGTGGAGCTTGGATCAAATAAGACTGATGCATCTCTATGACAAACGGAATAATACATGTGATAACTGCGTTTGATAAAACCGTCTCCGTCCTACCCGAAAAAGTATAGCATCTGGTCTGGCCTCCCTCTCTAGGGCGAACCCTACCCGCCATAACTCCACATTAGCTGGTTGTGCAGGTGGAGCGACAACCGCGGCCTGAGAAGTTTGTGGACCCGGAGGAATACGTGGAGCCTGAGTAATCTGTGGAGGTGCACCCCTCCTGAGTCTAGGGCAATCCCTCACCATATGTTGGGTATCACCACATTCAAAGCAAGCTCTCAGTGGGTGTGGCTGCTGAAACAGGCTCGGGCCTGGTCGGCTGGACTGACGGTCAAAAACATACATGTAGGAGGTGCACTAGACAGTGGAGGTGCATAATGGGCAACCTGAGACCTGAAAGTAGCCGTAGTACTACTAGAAGTTGGAAGTGCCAAATGAACTGGACGGCTCACATAGCCCCTGCCATGACGGGCTGTAACTGGGGCACGGGCACCACTATACCCGCCCTAATCTCAAGGCCTCCTAGCCTCCCTGTCCTCTCTCTCACGACCTCGCATACCCTCCAATCGCCGTGCGATCTCTACCACCTGTTGATATGGGGTATCTATCTCCAACTCTCAAGCCGTGCTAAATCTAATACCATAGTTGAGCCCCTCGATAAATCAACGGACTCGCTCTCTGACTATGGAAACCAAGGCATGTGCATATCTGGACAACTTATTGAATCTGACAGCATACTCTGACACTGTCATAGTACCCTGGTGCATTTGCTCAAACTCCGCGCTCCATGCATCCCGAAGGCTCTAGGGAACAAACTCTCTCAAGAACATCTCTAAGAACTGAGCCCATGTAAGTGAAGCTGCATTGGCCGGGCTACCCTCCTCATAAGCCCACCACCACTAATACGCTACTCCCGACAGTTGGAATATAGTAAAAGCAACCCTACTAGTCTCCACAATATCCATGGTGCGGAGAATACGATGATATTTCTCTAGAAAACCCTATGCATCCTTTGTAGCTAGGCCGCTGAAAGTTGGAGGATGGTACTTCTTGTACCTCTCAAGTCTAAGTTGATCCTCCTCAGATGCTGCTGCCCTAACCTCGGGCTGAACCGAAACAATAGGTTGCACTAGTATAACCTTTGGGACCCGATCAACATGGACCCGCTGGTCTGGGGTACTGGAGGCGAGAGTTTGAGCTCCTCCCTCAGCCTGAGATGTGGCTGGTGCAACTGGAATCAACCCCGCAAGAGCTAGATTACCAAACATGCTCAAGAACTGTGCGAGAGTCTCCTAAAGTACAAGGGTGGCAAGGCGCCTCAGTTGCCTGCCCCTCAACTGGAGCTACTGGTGGCTCCTCCGTCGCAGCTCGAATGCCAATACAAACTTGTCCAACACTCACAATGCCAATCCAAATGCCAAAACACGGAATCTTCATCAAACATCCAATTCTTCCAACTTCCAAACTTAAGAACTACCAACTTACATAACAAGCAATTAATTCACTTTCGAGCCCCTCGGGCCAACTCCAAATTATCCGACTAAGTCTGAATACCTATAACAAACTTGCTTAAAATTCTAAAACATAAATTCAAGCCCGAAATCCAAAAAGTCCACTTCAAACCAAATTTTCTAACATTTAACTTTCAAAATTGCCAACTTCCGATATGAGGCGCTGCCTCGCTCCTGGACCACCCCAGGCTCGACCCGCACATACATCCAAGTCCAAAATTACCATATTAACCTATTGGAACCTTCAAATCCTAATTCCAAGGCCGTTTAATCAAAGTCAAACCTTAATCAACTCTTCCAACTTAAAACTTCCAAATTGAGAATTACTTTTCCAAATCAATGCCGAACCTATCGAATATCGAAACCAACTATACAAGCAAGTCATTATGCATCATATGAAGCCCTCAAAGTCTTAGACCACCGAACAGAATGCAAACGCACAAAAAGACCAATTGGGTCGTTAGAATATAAATTTAAAGAAATATGTGTAGTATAAAGGGTGTTTGATGTCTACCTAACATACATCAACATCCGTTAGCTATGTCATAGTGGATGTAATTCTTTCAATTAACTCAAGTCAGTCGTGATGGATCGCTACACCTTATTGGGTATCTGACTGTGAGATGTTAGATGACAATGCGTTTTCATGACCATATTAAATTCTAGGTCTTCATGATGATGTGTATTTGTACTATTTGCATTTTAATTTTTCACTATATAAGCATGGATTTGTTCCATAGAAATTTAAAAGCATCCTAACATTGCTAGCCATGTCGAGCAGAGAAAATATAGATTAGTGAGTATTCTTTTCAAATGACCCGAATGTTAGTGATGAAGGCACTTCTAATCAAAGCAACTATTCTGGTGATCCATGTCCCGATAACACTCAAATCGAGTTTGACACAACCTTCTGCTAGAGAGGGATGACAATTTTTGTGAACTAAAATTTTCAGACCCATGTGAGTGTTACTGTGGTCTATGACGTAGTTGTGCATATTGGCATGCCGAATCACAGCGCCTTATTCCTGATTTGGAAAAGCTTGCGGCTTTCATCTGGGCGAGGTTCTCTACAACAATGCCTCGAACTAATTGAGAGTCATGGGAGGTTGCAGTAAAGAGGATTAGGAAAGAGAATAACCGAATGTTATGTTATTAAGACGTGGTAGATTCTACATGCTTAAGTTGGTTGAGGTACAAGAGACATCAACCGGATTTAACTCCCTCAATTTCCTAGTCTCTTCATTTCTCCAAGTTCCTACTTAGATTAGAGACACTTGTCATGGTTAAAAATAAATGGTGAGATTTAATTGAATAAAATAAAACCCTAACTATGGTTAAAGTATTTAATTCCTTCCTTTATCCATTCCTAAATAATATCTTTTGCAATCCCACAATTATAGCTACAGATTGTCTAAGATTTCTTCACTCTTTCAGGTGTTAATTTTCTTTCACTTCTACAAAAATAGTAATTTTCTTTCCGCGAGTTTTTTTTTTTACTTTTACAAAATCTTCTTACATTATCATTAAAAAATAAAAAATATTAGAAGTATGTTCTAACATTTCCAATCTTGGACCAATTTCAAAGCAACCTTTTTTCAACTTAGACGTGTAAAAGCATCTGCATCAACATTCCCAAAGAAGTAAAATCGAAAGTATCATGAATTTTTTTCTTTGAGATTTATATGAAGAAAAGCTTGAGCAGTTCTTCCCCACAATAATAGAGCTGTCAAGCTATGCGTCTCCTTTGGTTTTCTAGGTGAACACCAGACCATCAATTATATGCATGAGATAATTTCAAAGGGAATGTAGATCAACTGCTCAGTTGCTTCAGTAATGAAAGAGCGCGGCAAGACAAATTCACCAACACAAAAGTCATCCATCCTCTTGCTCATTCACAACACAGAAATACCAAAGTCATAATAATTTTTAATATGGAAGCATTTATAAACTACACTCCAAAGCTGGAAACAGTAGTTGATTTTTTTGGAAGAAATAGAAGTTCTGAAATCATCTTTGTGGTGACAAGTTATATTGCTATGCAACCTTCGTTCTTTCATGATATTGACGATCAACCTTGAGATTACTTGTTTAAATTATGAAATGAAATATCCTGCAAGTAAAATAATTCATATGAGGGTATTATTTAAAAAAAAATAAGGACATAAAATCGCAAAAATAAATTATACTAACTCTTAGGAGTTGAGATAGACTTCCATGAGAGATTAGCTGGGACGATTCTGAAGAATACCATGGGTAAGAATTTCCTTCTCTCTGTCACGACCCAATTTCCATACCCGGTCGTGATGGCGCCTCTCGTGAAGACAAGGCCAGCCAACTAACCCAATCCGATTCTTTAACAATTAATAAACATAAATGTATAGATAAATATAGCTTAACGACAATAATAACCAGTATGTACAACCCAACACAACCCGACCGGGGTGTCACAAGTCACGAGCATCTAAAGAAACCTGAACACAACTACAGGGCCTATAATAATATATAAAGAAAAATTTCTTGAAAATCAAAAGACAACATCCGGTGCCGCGAACGCTGGCGGTCACCTTGCTCAGCTACAATAGCCCTACCTTCAATCAGCTAATAACCCGCTACCGGGTGAACAATACCTGCAACTGCACGCGAGGTGCAGGGAGTAAAGTGAGTACTTCCAACTCAGTGGTAATAAGAGTAAATAATAACTGAGAGGCAAGAAATCACGTAAGAGCACTCCATCATGCTATATAGGACAGTACAACTCTTTGAGAAAACAGTAAAACCGTGAAATCCTTTAGAAAATCTATCTGGGCTCAGTTACAAACCTCTTTTGAAAATATCTTTTTCAACAGTTAAGCAAATGAATGCGAAACAGATAGTGCAAGTCAGCACGTAAGTCAGCCCCTCGGGCACAACACTCCATTAACAAATAACACTAGGGTATCTGGTAAACAGTACAAGAAGTAGCATGGATGCCAGTGAAATGAGAGTGCTGAATGTCATGACACGTAATACAAACAGGAACCAATGCATGAGTGCAATGCATTGCATATGACCGGTACACTCAGGTACCCACTGCGGCGTGCAGTCCGAGCCAACCATATAATATATTTTACGTCGACGGCGCTCACTGGGGGTGTGTACAGACTCCGGAGGGGCTCCTACAGCCCAAGCGCAATAATCAAGCCATCTCGTGGCATCAACCAGGCCCTCGGCCTCAATATCAGTATAGTACCGCTGCGGCGCGTAGCCCGAGCCAACCATATATCCAGAAATCACTATAACACTGCTGCGGCGCGCAGCCCGATCCATGCTCGATCCAGAAATGCACATAAGCCACTTGGGCAATATTAAAATAACAGTTCTCAGCTCAAAACGTCAATAAATGTTGTTTAAGTTCACAATTCTTAGAAAAAAAATGGCTGAGTTTGCAAATTGGTATTAAAACCCTGGACCGAGATCAAATAGTATGCAAAAATGATGCGAAAACAGTGATATCAATCCCTGAAGGATTCACATAGTTGGCACGAAGCCCAAACATGGCAATCAGCCCAAATAGCAGTGATAACAAATAATTTCCAGTCAAATACGTAGTAATTTCATCAATCGTGACGGACCAAGTCACAATCCCCAACGGTGCTCTACCCCACGCTCGTATCCGGCGTGCAAGTCACCTCAATATAGCACTATGATGTGCATATCCGGGGTTTCAAACCCTCAGGATATCATTTACAAGTATTACTCACCTCGAACCGGCGAAATCTCTAGCCCGCGATTCCTTTGCCCCTCCAATCGGCCTCCACGTGCGTCGAATCTAACCAAAATCAGAGCGAATACATCACACTATGCCAAGGGAACAATACCCAATCGAAAACAATCAAAATATAGCAAAAATCTCGAAACTAGTAAAACCCGAGCCCCGGGCCCACTTCTCGAAAAATTACAAAATTCACATTACCGGATTCCTCGTCTCGCCACGAGTTCATACATACCAAGAACTCCCAAATCCGAGCTCAAATGGCCTAACAAATCCCAATTTAAAATATCAAAAACTCAAGCCCTAGCTTTACCCCTTTTTGAAGAATTTCAACCAATTTCCATGTTAAATCTATCAAAGTTCCATGTATTTAGGCCAAGGGACTTACCTCCAATCACACCTAGTCGAAATCCCCCTTCAATTCCGTCCAATAGCTCCCAAGCTCGCTTAAAAATGGTGGAAATAACATAACCCTCGCGGAACAAAATGAATATAAAACTCCTACTGGCTTCAGGGGTTTCCGCTTCTGCGGTCCCCACGCCCGCTTCCGTGCAACCGTTTCTGCGGTTTTTGTCCGCTTATGCGGAATTTCATTAAAACTCAAGGGCCGCTTCTGCGACACAAATTTCCGCTTCTGCGGAAGCTCACCTCCTGGCCAAACCCGCTTCTGCGACCGCCTGTCCGCTTCTGCGGACTCGCTTAAGCGAAAAGTGTTCCGCTTCTACAGAACTGCCCAACTCCACTCCAGACCGCTTTTGCGACCAAGATTACGCTTCTGCGGAACCGCTTATGCGGTCCATTTCCGCAGAAGCGAACATACCAGATACCAGCAAAATCTGCCATTACCTCAACTTGGATTTCATCCCGATAGCCATCCGAAATCACCCCGAGGCCCCCGGGACCTCAACCAAAAGCACCAACACATCCTATAACCTTATTTAAACTTGTTCCAATCCTCAAAACACGTCAAACAAATGCTAAAACCATTAAAATACATCGGATTCAAGCCTAGTTTTCATCAAAACTTCCGAAATGCGCATTCAATCAAAAACCCGACCAAACAACGTCCAAATGACCTGAAAATTTGCAGACATATCCAAAATCACCTAACGAAACTACTGCAACTCTCGTAATTCCATTCCGACCCTCGGATCAAAATCTTACCTATCAACCGGAATTCGCCAAAATTCAAACTTCGCCAATTCAAGCCTAATTCAACACCGGACCTCAAAAATTCAATTCCGATCGCACTCCTAAGTCACTAATCATCCCCCGAAGCTAACCGAACCACCGGAATTCACATCCGAGCCCTCTAACCACATAGTCAACTTCCGGTTGACTTTTCCAAAACAAGCTTCCTTCTAAGAGGCTAAGTGCCTCATTTCCAACTAAAACCAATCCGAATCAACTCTAGCTCACCACATACCGGTAGTGAAACATGAAGAAGTAATAAATGAGAAAAACGGGGCAGAAATACCTGATACGACGGGTCGGGTCGTCACACTCTCAATCCCTATCATGTAAAGAGAAAAATAATCTTACACAATACCACACAAGGAATAAAATATAGTTGTTATGACATACGGTATTCGTTGTGGCATTAGACAATGGCGGACATGGTGCTTGGAGGCCTGCAAGGTGACTTACATGTTGGACAGTTTGCAATGGAGGAGATACTGGCGATTGAATCTTATTCTTCTTCTTCCTGGTCTTTTCCACAAAACTCTTTGGTCGAGTATTGGAGCGACGAGTTGGTTGCTTCTTCTTTAACCCTGTCACCTTTGTGACATTTGAAATAAGGTTTTAACTTTCGAGATGCACTTATTCATATGCATGCTCTTCTGAATCAAATTCCATACCAAGTTTTATAGGCTCAAATAAATGAGAAACATCCATATGTTCATTTTGAGATGGGATCTCCATAAATCTACCATTAAACAGGAGAAAGTAAGACACATATTATAAGTGAACACTTACTTTGTAGTAGTTTTTACATGACACTTGACTTATAAAGTAATTATGAGGCATAGTCCCTGCGAACCCCAAATTTTTTATTTGATTGAAACAATTCAGCAAGCAATAATGAAAGAGAATGGTGCATAACAATATACTAGTTTGACGATCGATTAACCTTGATTCATCAGATATTCAAATCTAATTTATTTGTAAGTTAAACTGATAAAGTTCTAAATTTACTTGCTTTCAAGTCAAAGTCTAGTATACCAATGAACAGAATAGTTTAGTTCTGAAATTCCACACCAAAAGATTTAGTCCATTCTTCCCATACCAAAAAATCCATGACTTAGTAATTTTCACAAACACATGGTATACATTCTTTTACTCGATAATTGCCACAACAAGAAATGCACAAAAAAGTATATAACTTCTAAGGAATAGAATTAATGTGTAAAGAAGAACCTGGCGAGAATTTCAGAGCAGTTCTTTCCAGAAAAATGAAGTTCCACGACTTGCTATCTTGTTCTCTGTTTTTCCACTTGTTGTGTTTTTCTCTGTTGATTTTTAACTTCAAGGACTGGATTTTCATGGTAAAAGTCAGAATGATTTTCTCTGCTACCATAATTTTCGGTGTTTCCTTCAGAGCAGATGTATTTGGCGCGTAGAGGAAGAAATTATGGGAAGTTCTAGCGCTAAAAGAGACAAAAGATATTATTTAGGAATGGATAAAGGAAGGAATTAAATACTTTAACTATAGTTAGGGCTTTATTTTATTCAATTAAATCTCATCCATTTATTTTTAACCATGACAAGTGTCTCTAATCCAAGTAGAGAAATGGAGAGACTAGGAAATGGAGGGGAGTTAAATCCACATCAACCGATAGGAGTTTGACATTAGTAGAAAGAATAAATATCTTAGCAAACAAAGATTATCTATCAAATGGTAATATTGAGTGCTTCTTGTTCTTACTAATTAGTTGAATTTCAACGATTGTGCAATTTGTATTGTTTTAGTTTAATATCGAATATAATAGCTTTGTCAGAAATAGTGTATAAAACAAATTTGCATAAACATGCCATACTTCTTTTTGAAAAAAATTGATGCTTACATTACAATACATAACACATAATATAGAACACATGAACAATTACTACAAAAGTGTGGACATTATATAATACATAAAAATGACATAAATAAACCTAACCAATACAATATTTTCGGATGACAAACACCAACAGTAATACACACAACCACCTTAGATGATTCCTTTACTTTCTATCTTCATTCAATTCTTTCGGATGATCCCTTTTCTGTTTAGTTTTATTCAACATATCTTTGAAGTATTCTTTTCTCTGTTCGGATTCTTTCAATAATGTTCTAAGAAGATTCCTTCTCTTCTTCGATTTTTGAGCCAAAACTTTAGTTAGAACTTCACATTAGTTTGTGAGGCCATTATATCATCGTCAAACTGAGGGCCTCCTCAACCGCGACAATCTTGTTCAATTTATCGGTGGTCCATCATGCCATCTAATATAGTCACACTCATTATTATACCACAAAATATAACAAATAATTTTCACTGATTGAATAAATATATATATATATATACCCTATATAATTTTTAAAC